TCTTAATGAAAGTAAACTTGAAAAAACCCCCACTCGGTGCTGGAGTATTTGCATACCCCCTGCACCTGGCAGGAACTCTATGTCCAGGGCACACCTCCACAGATGGTGGGGGTTCAGGACCTGTGAGCTGATGATGAATTGGTAATAACTAAACATGCAGAAACGAAGTCAGGAAACATGATGTGCACATTGACGGTTTGTAGGAGAGGGAGCAGAGGGGTCATTTTCTTGGTGAATTTTCATCCTTTTCCCGGGACTTGTGTTGAGTCTCAGGAGCTTGACTCGCATCAGGGCTAAGTGATGACGGTGTTTTATTGATGTTGGGGAGCAGGGGCGGGTCCGTGGCTTCAGTCCCTTCCTCCTTGCTGTCCTGCCCACCTTCTACCCTATCTTCTAGAAAGGGCTTCTGGGTTTCACATCTGAGAAATTCAGAGGGGGTTCCCGGCCTCTGCAGATGTGAAAAAACAGGGAAAGAAAAAGAAAGGCTGGAGTGAGGAAGGAAAAGAATTCATTCCGTTTTTGTTTTTGTTTTTTCCTCTGAGAGGAGTGTGAGTTGCTGGGGTATGGATTTGTTCATTGCATCATGTCTTAAAGGGGATGCTGAAAAGATCAGCTGCCTTTGGGGACAAAGGCTTTTCACTCGCCACCAGGTTGAACCCCCCTCCTGAGGCTGACTCAGCCTTCTTTGCCCCTGACCTCAAGGCCTCACGCTGGAAGCCTCTGCGTCTACGCGCAGTTTGCCGTGGGTTGTTGTCAGCACGTTAGCCGTTTTAAAGGAGGTTGGGACAGTTCTTGGGATCCCTGCATTTAGCTGTTCCAACCCGGTGTGTGGGAGGGCCACGTGCGATTCAAGCTCCGCTTCCCGCAGAGGGTAAAGACTGAGTCAGTCCTGTGCTGGCGGCTCTAATTTGCCAAGATGTGTGCAGTTAAGGGAAAGGCGTCCACTTCTCTGCGGAGGTTTATATATTCTCTGAGAACTTGGTCAGGATCTTACCATAAGTTCGAGAATAGGACCCATTCCCTTCTGGGTTTTATTAAGAAATCCCTGCTTTGGTCTCAGGGTCTCAGTGCTATGCATCCTCCTGCGGTTAGCTCCTCTTGGATGCTCGGGCAGGGCACTTTAGGAAAAATACATTTCCCATTGTTGACCCCTTTGCCGCCCTCAACACCC